CCCAGCGTTTATTTCATAATCTGAACCCGAAACATCCGAATCGCCGAGATAAGGTTCGGCCGCTTTTCGTCCCTGTTGCCATGTGGAATACGATGACACAAACCGTGTGTTATCGGCCCGATAATAATTTTTCCCCTTGAAAGAAGGAACAGATAAGGAGGAGCCTTGCCCCCGACAAGCCTCCAGAGAGCTAATTCAAAAAGGCCGGTCGAATTTTTTCACGTCCATGGCTATTTTCGTCCTGATACTAGCATATCGCACCTGGCGCCTTAGATGAGGTCGGAATCGTCCTCGTAGACATAAAGATCAAGTCGTTTAACATTGGCAACAATCCCATTTTTTTCTATTTCCGACCTGGCTTACATCAGATCACAGTGGTTGAATAAACGTCTCACTGGCTTATACACCTATGTTAATAAATCATGAACTTGCCTTTAACGAAAAAATATATGCCCAATGAAAAAGTACAAGAAAAAGTAAATATATTAATACCAATGGTGTATAATCTAGTCTAGCTAGGGTAGCTTTAAAGCCCAGCAAATACTAGCATAAAAAAGAACCATAATTCCTGAAAGTTTGTTAATTTCAATAAAAAACTTTTATGTTGTACATATAATTTTTCTGACAATTTCATTGTTTTAATTACACAATTTTTTGTGTTTATTGTCTAATCTCATAAAACTGATAATAAAAATTCCGTGCAATCACGGGAAAAAGAAACCCCCCACCACTTCCAACGCTCGCTGGAGTGAGATAGGCCACAACTGGTACTCAGCATAATTCAGTCTAGCAAGGGTAGCTTTAATGCCCAGCAAATACTAGCATAAAAAAAAAACAATAATTCCTGAGTTTGTTAATTTCAATAAAAAACTTTTATGTTGTACATATAATTTTTCTGACAATTTTTTCAATTGTTTTAAATACACAATTTTTGTGTTTATTGTCTAATCTCTTAAAATTGATAATAAAAATTCCGTGCAATCACGGGAAAAAGAAACCCCCACCATTTCCAACACTCGCTGGAGTGAGATAGGCCACATCTGACACTCAGCATAATTCAGTCTAGCAAGGGTAGCTTTAATACCCAGCAAATACTAACATAAAAAAAGAACCATAATTTATGAAAGTTTGTTTATTTCAATAAAAAACTTTTATGTTGCTAAATATTGCACATATAATTTTTCTGACAATTTCATTGTTTTAATTACACAACTTTTTGTGTTTATTATCTAATCTCATAAAACTGATAATAAAAATTCCGTGCAATCATAGGAAAAAGAAACCCCCCCACACCACTTCCAACACTCGCTGGAGTGAGATAGGCCACATCTGGAACTCAGCATAAGCCAATTTTTTTCTCTTTTCTGAATCTGCCAATGTGGCGATTATACAGTAATCCAGGTCTTTAGATTTAAAAACAATGTTTATTAACGGCTTGAAATTCAAAATGAAGTATCTAAGCCAAAGCCTTTTTTTTGCTATAAAAAAAATCTGAAATTCTAAAAAGAAATCTGAGATCTTCAGTTTAATTGATCTAGCTGATAGTTTAAAAATATGGGTGACTTGTCAATAAGATTGACTCCTCTTGCATAACTGAGTCATAACGATTTTTGGTAATTCTCAATTTGCTTACGTGACGTGCAGTTGAATTAATGTTATTATTTCAAATCTTGTTTTTACAAAGGAAAAAATCGCATGTTGAAATTCTTAGTGGATTTATTTACAGACAGCACGAATGGTCGAACGTCAAACAAAATATATAACTCTCTTCTACATTATTATGTAATTTAACTGAAAAAATTGCTAGTATGGTTTTGAGATAGGATAGAGATCAGTAGTCTGAGAATTGTAATACAAAAATTACATCACAAATTAGAGCTGAAGGTTGTGAACTTTGAGTCCGAGAGCACTCCTAGTCACTGTTTGGATTCGAATGGAAGAAGTGGTTGGATTTTTCCAATTTCGCCAGTTTCCCCTAGCCCACGCCTACCCTTATAACCATGGATCTGTGCTCTTACTACTGTCTCACTGATCTCCGGCACGAAATCTACGATGGACCGTTGAAGGTATATTTTTTCACGAAAGGTTCGCCGGAATGAACGAACTCCTCGAGCGTTTTTATATCGGAGACACGTTCAGGATTGGCGCTATCTGAGTATTCGAGATAAAATAGATATAGTTTTATCTCTTTCAGCAGTTTAACACGAAAATTTCCCAGCTCTTGTGGTGTTGTGTCATTTGCCGGGATTTACTTACAACTAGAATAAACGGGGAGTTGAAATGAGAAGTTTGTGGCATGGGCGTATTGAGCCGAAGGTCGTGGGTTCAAATCCCGCTCGTGATACTAACTTTTCCATCTCAACCAAGACTTTATAATTAATTTAAAAAAAGAATATAATGTATATTTTGCATTTAAATAATACAGCATTTGCTAATTTGAATGTGCCAAAAATATCAATGAAAGGCAATTCTTTTGTTTTATTTTTTATAAACTATACATCAAAATATTTGAAGTAAAAGTATGTATTTTCATAAAATCCTTTTTAATATTTGTAAGCTGATTGCTAGTTTTCTGAGAATAAACCAATTAAAGAAGTGCAATGCTTTACCTTTTATTTAAAAAAATCTTCAGAAGGTAAAAGTGATTGGTTAATTTGTGCTAGTTCAGTTCTGTATATGCATGCACATAATCACTCAATTTGGTGATATCATGTTCAAGATCAGACCGCAGGCTTATCTATTCTCCGTCAAAGTTAGGGGGTGTCAACAAGTGGATCATTTCAGCCCCCAACACTTGGTTTAAGTACAGTTCTAAAATCAGGTGGCTCTGTATAGATCCAAGGAATGACACCCTTCAATTAAGTGGGAGACATCTAGCCTTCTTTCTCTATATTCATTCATGGATTCGTACACTGGCTTTGGTCCAAAATTAACTATCTGTATGTCAACCGAGGTGAAAGTGAATCGGCAGTAATTCGGCAAAACAAATTATAAATGAGTTAATCAATATTTGCTTAGAGGTCATAATTGACCATATTAATTATTCCAATAAATTATTCTTTGTATCTAAGGTTTTTGGTTGAGATGAAAAATTATTGTCACGAGCGGGATGAAGTCACAAAAGCTCAAGTGGTTAGAGCAGCGGTGTATTGAGCCAAAGGTCGAGGGTTCGCATCCCGCTCATGACACTAATTTTTCATCTCAACCAAAAACCTTAGATAAAAAGAATAATTCAACTCTTATTTGCACAAGATGAAAGTGCAGTGTTGTAGATGTAAAATTTATTTACTAATGTAAAAAAATATTGCATTTTGAAGATGAAATGTGCCTTTTTTGCAACTTATTTTTCATATTTGCTTCTGCAGCATTTTTTTTTTTTTTTTTTTTTTTGTGGGGGAGGGGGTAGATTTATTTTTCGTCGATAAGACTATCCTTTTTGTCTTCTTTATTACATTTTATTTTTGCTGTATTCTTTAATATTGCTGTCATTTATATTTTGCCGTTGTCTGTCTAACGAGGACTGTCCTGTCGATGACCCCGTTTGGTCGAAGTGAAGCCCTTCGAGGTCTTCCCTTGGCTTCTAAAAACAAATTTCAGAAGTCTTACAGGGTAGAGCTTATTCAACGGTTTCAATGACAATTGAGGCTTTCTCCGGTTCCTTTTTTTGTGTTTTATAGGTATTTCTAATTAAATGTATTATCTAGGTTTTTTAATTATTATTTCCCCCCTAAAAAAAGTAATACAAATAATTTTTAAAGACATTTGACAGCTAACATAAAATTGAACTGTTACTGTATATAAGTAGTATAGTTGGTTTTATTATATATATATTTTTTTAAAGTAGTGGCATCACCTTATTCAGCAGAACTGCTGGAAAGAAATATGGTTTTAAACTTAAAAAGAGAGCGTACTATTTTTTTTAAGCCAATAAGAAAATAATGAGCATGTATTCATTTTATGTGTATTTCTTTATATGCAAATATAAATATGCAAACTAATATTCAATTTAAAAATTTTCATTCAATTTGCATATTTTGTCCGCTGGATGGAAAAACATTGAATCTATGTAACCTAACCCTAAACTAACCCTATACTAGCCCCAACCTAATCCTAAACAAACCCCAATCTGACTCTAGACTAGTCCCTACCTGAAATAAATTAGCCTCAACACAAACCTAAACTAACCCTAAACTATCATATATTAACCCCAACCTAACCCTCAAATAACCCTAACCTAATCCTCAACTAGCCCCAACCTAATCCTAAACTAACCTCAATCTGACCCTAGACTAGTCCCTATCTGAAATAAATTAGCCTCAACACAAACCTAAACTAACCCTAACCTTATCATAAATTAACCCCAACCTAACCCTCAAATAACCCTAACCTAATCCTCAACTAACCCTAACCTAATCCTCAACTAGCCCCAACCTAACCCTAAACTATCCTCAACCAAAAACTAAACTGAACCCAAACCTAACCCAAAACCTACCCCTACTAAACCCCCAATCTATGTTTACTTCCCAGTAATGCGAAAATAGTCACACACAAAAAATTATGCGTCAGCCCAAATAGATGTCCATGTTAATATATAAATTTATTTACATTACATGTCAGGATGTTACATATAATTATTAAAATAGATTAATTTAATTTATGATGTTATTAAAATGAAATATCTTTTACAGTAATAATCATTAGTAAGTTACAATTTTTTACGTGGATAGAATATGCAAATGTATTTTTGCATGTAGTTTGCTGTTTATTTTGTATGTTAATATTTAAACAAAATAATCTATATTTTAATTTTTATTGGTGTATTTATTAACCACATGTACAAAGCCAAGCTTGATTTTCAAGTTGTTAAACTACACTTTAGGTGGTTTTTTCTTGTCATGTAATTTTTTAAGTATTCATAAATATGCAAGGTATCCATGTGACGATTTAATGTTGAGAAAGTTTGCTCGTTCTGTAATTCATACTGGGCTTCTTGTTTGCAGTTCCTCGACATCGGGGATCTTATGACAGTCCCCGAAGACTATACAGCCAAAGAGATACAAACTGGTGTTTGGTGGAGGCAGCTGGTGGCAGGTGCTGTGGCTGGCGCAGTGTCAAGAACTTGTACAGCCCCTTTAGATAGGATAAAGACCTTCCTGCAAGTAAGTGACTTCAAATTTACTGAAATTGTTACCAAAAGATACAATAATTTCTTTATAAAAACAATTTGTTTGATTCAAATTGTGCGAAATAGTTTGAAATTTTATTATTTACTGCCAGTGAAAATTAGTTTGAAATTTGGTAATCATTTTGGTCTGCCTACCCTCACTGTGTTTTACAAACACTTAGACACACTGAAGATGGTCTAGATTTCTGATCATTTGGGTCTGCCAGACGCGTTTCGGTGTTTCGCCATTAAAAAAGTGGTTAGAGATATAAGTAGGCCAATGCAAGATAAAAAACGCAATGCGTAAGATGGTGAGAAGCCAAAATGCGTTTGACGAATCAAGGAGAGAGGATAGGCAGGCCAAAATGGCTCGAAATGACTATACTTAGTGTTCATAACCTTGCAGATCTTGAGAAAATCTAAAAAATGTTTATATCAGTTTAAATAATCTACTGAATTACATGTAGATGATACAAAATCAAAATTACGCCTTGTCTTTCTTCAGATTTCATTACTATCGAAAATAAATATAGTTATCATTTCCTGGTTCACTGTAAAGTGATTATTTTCGATCAGTTAAAAAAGTAAAAGTTGGCCAATCTTTGAGTGGATGAACTTTACTGTATTCTTTAATGTTCTTTTATTCACGAAAAAAAGAGCCGTAAATCACTTAAGACAGTCCCAGTAAAGCGATCATTTTCGATCAATTCTTAAAAAGTAGTTTAGTCGTTACAATCATATCGGTCTATAGACCAACCCAGCAAGGATAGGCAGACCAAAATGATCAGTAACAACCAAATTTCAGGTTCATCACCCTGCATTCAACCTGGAGAAATCTCACAAAAAATAGTTTGTTAGTTAATATATTGTATTAATGTTTTTTTTTGTTTAATTTCTTTTTTTAATTTTAATTCAGGTACATGGTTCAAAGGGTTCAATGACGATGAAGTCATGTTGGGTCCATATGCTTAATGAAGGTGGTATTATGTCGCTCTGGAGGGGTAATGGAATCAATGTAACAAAAATAGCCCCCGAAAGTGCTCTGAAGTTTTTTTTCTATGAGAAAATCAAAGCTGTCATTAGGAAAAAAAATCAAAGAAAGGAGTTAGCCATCCAGGAACGGTTTGTAGCAGGTTCACTAGCCGGAGCTCTTAGTCAGACTACGATATACCCTTTAGAAGTAAGTTTTTTGATATTTTCATTTATTTGTAACTTTTGGTAATTTTTTTTCTCTCTCTTGTAGGTTTTGAAAACTAGGCTAGCATTAAGGAACACGGGGGAGTATTCTGGTGTGTATGACGCACTGAAAAAAATCATCCATCGGGAAGGAATTAAGGCTTTTTACAAGGGTTATGTGCCCAACATTCTAGGAATTTTACCATATGCCGGCATCGATCTTGCTGTTTACGAGGTAAGTTGACAAAATGATTTTTATTTTTAATTTTTTTTTTAATCTTTAAAATTTTTTTTAGACCCTTAAAAACGCATATATTCTTCAATTTGCAAAGAAGACTGATCAACCTCCGAATGCGTTAGTTCTTTTAAGTTGTGGCACTGCCTCTAGTACGTGCGGTCAGGCGTTCAGCTATCCCTTGGCATTAGTCAGGACTCGGTTGCAAGCACAAGGTGCCTATTTATTCCATTAAAAATGCATTCATTTTTTTTTTTTAAATTTATAAAATAATGATTATTTGTATTGTCTAGGACCTGGAACGCAACCTGACACGATGATCACTATGATACAAGAAATTCTAAAGAAGGACGGATTTCTCGGAATGTACAGAGGGATAGGTGTAAATTTTCTCAAAGTAGCCCCATCGGTCGGAATAAGTTATATAGTCTATGAAAAAATGCGAGTCGTCCTGGGGCTCGACAACATGACATAAACTGAAGGAGTGTTAATTTTTTTGTAGATCCACGAAGATTCTGTGATATTTAATAACTAGGATATTTATCTGGTCTTATGGTTTCACCCATTAGGTCGTTTTATTTGTATAATAACGCAAAAATGTTCCTTCCTCGTGACATGGACGTCGCGCATCTGTAAAATATACTTTTAACAACAGTTTCAATTAATTTTATGATTTAATTTTTTTTTTACAATAGACAAATTATATAATTTATATTTTGTTTTGACCTTTGGAATATATGTTCATGACAACCGCAGAAGTAGCAAAAAACATTTTTAGTAATCATATTTTAAATGATGGTTTGATAAATATCCATCAACAACGAAGTAGAACTAGTTGTTGAACATGTGATGTCATTTTAGTGATTATTAAAAAAAAATTATACAGACAAAGTAATTTTACTTGCTACAACTGAGGTTTTTGTTTTTTAAAATGAAATTTAGATATAATGATTTTTTTTTCTTTTGTTTTGCAAATATATGCATATTCAGACTATGTCTGTTGGCTGTGGGCAAATATATATAAAATAGCAACAGTTGTAAGGGTAAGCATTCCAAAAAGAAAAGAAAAACTAGGTAGGTAGATAAAGATTAAGATAGGAATGGTGTGCGAGTGAGAGTGTGCATGAGAAATTGATTGATTAGAACGAAAAATACCATTAGATCATTATTTATAATGCATTTCTGAATTTTGAAAAGTACTTAAAACCCAAATTGTTGGTCTATTTTATCTTTGTTTATAGTACATGCAATGTTGTACAAAATACTGCATGTACAATTTACCAATTTATTGATTTTAAAATTATGTTGTTATTTTATTTTGCATTTCTATAGGACAGTATTTATAACGATTTTATATATATGTTTTTCAATAGTTTTTTTTTGTTTATATGTTGCTTAGGATTTTCTAAATTTATTCCAAGTGTCATTTATTTTCTCATTTTATTTATAAACCTCTTTCCTTTATTTATTATTATATTTATTGTAAAAAATACGTGTAGATTTTTTATTTTCAAAGAAAATCTTATGCAATATTTTGTTTTTGTGTAAGTTATTTCTTACCTCCATAAAAAAATTGTTTTCCCAAAATTTCTTCCAATTTTAAGAATGTTAAAACACAATTGTTTTTTAAGTCAGAAAGGAGACGTTGTGATAAAGAGTCTAACTCGACAGAAATTTTAAAAATTAAATAAACCAGATTTTAAAAAGTTCTCTATACTGCTTTACATATTAATATTTTATGTATTAATTACTATTGCGAATATTTACTGATCTATTAGGATAGTGTTTAAAATAAAATTAAATTAAACAAAAAACTGTCCATTTTATGGTTGTGCTGGAATAGTAATTATACAAGCTTGTACAAAAGCACCGTGCGATACTAGCCGAGGCGAATATTTCATGAATTAGACATTTTGAGTACTAGATTTAATGGAAATGATTAGAATTAAATTCTTTCAACTTTTTTTTTATTTAGTTTTTAATCTGATTCATTGGTGCTAAAGAATAGTGTGATACTAGTCGATCAAATAAGCATCCAATGTGATTTTCTGTTTTTCACGTTTGAAAGAAGAAAAAAAAATTCCTGAAATATACCGAAAATTTTATTTTGTACTTAATTTTCATTTTGTTTAAATAAATTAATATTAAATGTTAATTTGACTTGAGTTGACAATTATGCCAATGAACTGTTTATTATTTTTATAACATTTAAATTGTTGTAAATTTATTAAATTCGATTATCAATTGTTATCGTTTTGATTTATGTAAAATATAAATATTCAAAATGTATCGCTACGCTTTAAGTGTACTCTCTAAGTGTACTTAATGAAATTTTTTATTGAATCACCTCTACATAAAAATGTTTATGAATATTAATTATACAACCTACGAAGAATATTTTACATTTAATGCTCTCTTCTGCTAATTATACTATTGGTCTTTTTAAAAAACCTATATTGAATAATTGGTACTTAGAGTAAGAACACAAGCTTATTCAAACACATTTTACAATAAACATTTGCATACTTATTACAAGAGAATAAGTTGTTTAATGTTGTTTTTTCTCCCAATATTCGAGGTGATTTTTTTTTTCATTGTTTATCCTATAAAATAAAAAAAATTGTCCTACCACTGCATGCCCACTTCTCGATAGAGTACACGATATTTATTTCAGGAATTGTTATTGTAAATTTCTTTATTGTGATTTCATCAGATCGAATCAGCTGACGCTATTATTACCTTATAAAAAAAATGTTAATAATACATTTGATATAATAAAAATATATACAATGTGTTGTGTATATTAATATATTATATGAAACTTGAAACTGTTATTAGCAACCAGTTATGTCTTGTTAAAAATAAAAGTAATATAAATATTATGCTGTTTTTTTTTTCTTTTTCTTTACGGTAACCTCAAATAAGCTATTGCATATAAATTCAAAACTAGATCTAGAGTAGCTGGCCCAACCAGTGACGACACGCAGACCAAAATAGTTGGTAATGATAATTCTCACATTTAAAAAAATGCCTTTCCACATAACAAATTGGTTCTTTGATTTTCTAAAATGGGTAATAAAATAATTAATTTTTTTATGGTATCATGTACAGATTTTATGTACATTTATCATTCAAGTTTGACTGTTATTGGTTATTGAGCAATTAAAGTATATATAAAGAAAAAAATAAATAGAAATTTTTAAAAATAATTTTGTTTGCATTTTGCTTATTTTTCACAGTGTCTGTAATAGGAGGGGACACAGGTGGTCAAAATGAAATTTTAAAATTTAACAAAAAGACTGATCTCCAGCATAAAAAATCGGAAAAATTATACCATCATCTTATACTGTAATGTGTGGTGGTTAGTGATCGTTAATCGATAATTATTCAGAAATCGTGAGATGCGGTCTGGTGTGATGTAGGTTTCAGAAAAACATTTTCTTTATCGTGCCAACGTTTCGATCTTTATTTAGATCATCTTCAGGGCTTGGGATTTATAAACATTGTTTACATTTAACAAACACATTTAGGATGTGGAAAAGTGAATTTATACAATACAAAATATATTTTTTATATTCAATCAAAGTATTTCTACTCACTCAAAGTGTTTGTCTTCTGTGTAATTGTGCCATTCTTGCGTGTCGTGTTGAGAGTGCCAGTGAGATTTTGCTGTTTTATGTTTATATACGTTGGATTTTGAAGGAGTGGGGAAGGAAGTCAGTATAGAAAAGACATTTTTGTGTAAGGCGTCGGCTTCTTTGAGGTGAAAAGAGCCGACGAAGGGAAACAATGTGTTGGTAATGGTTCGGCCAGATTATCCTTTCAGGATTATATAGAAAGGGATAAATAGGAAAAGGAAAGCTGAATTGTTGGACAATTAGACTAAGAAAAATATTTGATGTGTGGAATGTAATGTGATGATATATGTATGTTATCTATATTGAATTTGATTAATGATATTGGTGTAGCTGCGACTGAGTTTACATGTATCTGTTCTGTAATTGATGCTGTGTTTATCTCTGTTGATATAAACTATTTCTAAGAAATTACGTTTATGTTTGTTTTGTTCTGTATGTAATATTTTTGGATTTTTGAGGTCGAAATTGTGTTGGTGTTCAAAATGGTGGGTAGCAAGTGCTGTAGGATTTTGCTTGGGTTTTTTGCAATCATAGATTGCTTTACTCTCTTGTCCAGATATTGGGATGTAAATCAATTCAAAATCCAACGTATATAAACATAAAACAACAAAATCTCACTGGCACTCTCAACCCGACACGCAAGAATTGCACAATTACACAGAAGACAAGCACTTTGAGTGAGTAGAAATACTTTGATTGAATATAAAAAATATATTTTGCATTGTATAAATTCACTTTTCCACATCCTAAATGTATTTGTTAAATATAAGCAATGTTTGTAAATCCCAGGCCCTGAAGATGATCTCAATAAAGATCGAAATGTTGGCACAATAAAGAAAATGTTTTTCATCACACCAGTCCGCATCTCACGATTTCAACATAATTAAACCACTTGCTGAAATTTATGCTGGGGGAGGTTAGTCTTTTTATGACTAAATAATACCAATCTTCACCAACATTAATAATTAGAAGAAATAAAGCCATCCGCTAGAGATTGCCTAGCAAATAATCATAATTCATAGATCAAGTAGACAAGTGGCTATGGCATCCGACTAGTGGTTCTGGTTTTGAATTTTGACAAAACTCATGGAATTTCAATCGAAAATAACAAGAAAAAAGTTTTGTAACTTGGTTTACCTGGTACCTCGTCCACGATAATGGGTAGTCAGCATTGAAGCCTTCCTTTATAACTCTTAATTACTTTTAATGCTAAATCAAGCTTTTAACTGGCAGTACATACATTATTAAAATTTTATTGTATTTGAATGAAAAATATCCTCGAAGATTTTATATGACTGTATGGTATGCAAAATAGATGCTCGGGGCAGACAAAACAATTTTTTGATTTTTAAATTTTATTTTGATGAGTTTTGACACTACCCTATTTCAGACAGTGTGAAAAAGGAGCAAAATTCTCCGAAAAGTGTGTGTAGTGAATAAAACGGAAAACATTTGAGGTTTAGTCAACCTTTATTTTGATCTACCTAATGCATATCGCCTGGTAGGCAGCATTTTGCCTTGCTGGATCAGTGAGGATGAGCTGTGGACAACCGTACATATAATATTATAAAAAAAATATTGGCAAATATTTTGGAATCTAAGGAACAAAGAAAAACTCAAGGAATTAATTAAGGGAGAACACAAATTAGAAGAAATTTAATTATTTTTTATCAAGTTATTCTTAATTGTACATATGCTCAATTAATTACACACAATTTTTTTCAAAATGAATTTCTTGACCTACAGTGGCTTCAATCACCCGTGCCACAAATTTCTCATTTCAACTCCCCGTTTATTCCAGTTGTAATCAAATCTTGTCAAGGGTTCGAATCCTGCAAAAATTAATTGAGTACTCAGATGAAGGTTCATTTTGATGTCAATCACAATAAATTTAACAAAACATCACCTTGGGCAAAATAAAATATCCAATTTGCTTTAAAGTTTTTGGAGACACTCGCCGATGACAGATAGTTATCATTTTTATTTTTTTTATTTCAGAGTTGTCATTCAAAAGGGGAAAAGAAGAATAGGAAGTCTTGAGATTTTTCGGACACTTCCACACCGGTAATGCTAAATTAAAGTTATCCACTAACTTTATTTTAGATTCACATTCTGCTTTTTTATCCTCAGCAAACGTTGATGGCTGTATCTCTATTTGTCCAAATATCTTCATGGCAGACTGTCATCAAAACCTGCCTGGTACTTGATAAGTTAATGAGGAATGATACAAACAAAATTGGAGAAATGACAACTGGAGGAATTTTTAAAATAAAAATTCATAAAATGACAAAAATTTAACAAATCTAGGAAATATGTCATAATTTAAAATTTTTATACACCTCAAAATAATTTTAATATGAATTTTCGTCGTTCGCGCCTTAAATAATTGCGATACAGTTTTGCCGAACGTGACTGTGTTGCGGGTTTAGTATGTCCGATCGCCGTTTTCGTAAACGGATAATAAATTCGTCCATAATTAATAAAATGGTTTTGTCCAAATTAAGCATCTCTGGTCCGTCTATTCTCGCTCTTTTTTTCAATTTATCTTTCAAACTAGTGAAGGTTATTACACTAAACATTAAAATGTATTAACATTTTCATAGAATGATCCTCAGAATTGTAACTCCTTAATTTACACGTCGTTTTAATATATTTTTTGCTCTGTAAACCAAAGCAATTTCAAATATTTTCTCTGGGAATTTCATCTTGGTGACATTGCCATTTCTGATAAAGAGCTGGAAATTCCATCCACTTGTAATAGACTAGATTTGTATATATTTGTACATACATAAATTAATCAAAGCTTCACGGTTTTTAACATTTAATAATTGAGACTTTGTCTAAAAAGTAATAAGAAAAGTAAATTGCTAAGGAAAACTGAGGGAAAAAAGACGGACAGATAAGATTTGTTTTAGATTTTTAATTAACTTTTCAATATTATGTATTTTTTCCTGTTGTCTTAATTATATTTTGAAGACGCCTCGACATACTTTCTAGTCTGGAAAGTCACTTTCCTGGAGGTTAGCCTATTCTTCACTAAGAGTCCTTTCAAAATTGTGAAGTGTATCAGGAAGTGATGGACGTGTTCTTGTTCGTCTTTTGAGGTTATTCCATAAATGTTCGATGGGGTTCAAATCTGGAGAACGGGCTGGCCAGGCAAAGGTCTTTGGGGGGTCATCCTGGGTGAAAATCCAAATTATGAACATGGGCAATAAATTTCCTCAACTGAATTTTTTCTTATTATTTAATAATTTTGTTAAACAATTTCACTTTATTAAATATTTACTTCTGTGTCAGTAATCAATATTTTTGTTATTTAGTTTGATGCCCATATTTAAAAGATAATTATAACAATTAATTAAGGTTTTTAGTTGAGACGAAAAAAAGCTAATGGCACAAGAGGGATTCGAACCCACGACCTTCGGCACGACGCTGCTGCTCTACCACCTGAGCTATCGTGACCTCGATCCACTCGGACATCAACTCCACATCTCAACCCCACCTTATGAGTTTGCCATTTTTCATCTCAACAAAAACGTTAATTAATTGTAATGTATTAATTGGTCAAGTGGACCACGAAATTAGTGAAGATAATTATAACATCAGAAAAAAATGAACAGTTTATTATTTTTACTTTATCAATCAATATAATTTTGATAAGTAATTATTTTCTAAATTTATGTATATATCTTATAATAATTTAACTATTCATTTCTACAGCTAATATACAATAATAAATGTGATCTTTTTTATGTATATTCATAAGAATCATTGTTTTTACTTACTTTCCTACTTTATATATAATATTATTTGACACTGAAGTAATTTTTTTCTATGGTTTTGCTTTTATGTCGTTATATTTTATATATCATTACAATTCTATTTATAAATTGAATGTATGTCGTATATATATATATATATATATGACAAGCAAAAAATTCCGCCCACTTGTCCCCCCAATTTGATTTGTATATATTTTTATATATTAATCAAAGTTTCACTCTTTTTAACGTTTAATAATTGAGACTTTATCTAAAAAAGTAAAAATACGTAAAAAAACACTGACAGATAAAATTTTGTTTTAATTTTGTTTTAAGATTTTAATCAACATTTCAATATAGCGTATTTCCTCCTCTTGCCTTAATTACATCTCGAAGACGCCTCGGCATACTTTCTACAAGTCTGGAAATGGAGGTTAGCCCATTCTTCACGAAGAGAGCTTTCAAGATCGTGGAGTGTGTCAGGAATTAAGGAATGTGCTCTTATTCGTCGTTTGAGGTTATCCCGTAAATGGTTGATGGTACACAAGTCTGGAGAATGGGCTGGTCAGGATAAGACCCGGATGTTATGCTGTTGGAGGTTGTTGTACTATGCGAGCGACATTGGACGGGCATTATCGTGCATTAGAATAGGATTGTCACTGATTTCATCAAGGATTGGCAACGCATGATGTTCCCAAATTTCATCCACATAGCGAGTGGCCGCCAAAGACCATCCAAAAACAACAGTCAATTCTGTGCGACTCTCCTTGAAATTCCCGCCCATACCAACACTGAGTTACATTGAAAAGATCGGCTCTGGGAAAAATTACAGGCTTCGTACCTTTCATTTCGCCTTCTCCACACTATTTCACGCCCACCTGGAGATCGTAGAGCAAATCTACACTCAACTGTAAAAAATACAGCAGACCAATCGTCCAAAGACCAATGGCTGTGTTCTCGAGCAAATACGAGCTGTGCACTTCTGTGTGTTCTGGTCGATTCTGGTCGGGGTGAAAAGCCATCAGTCCACCTCGAACTTCCTGGAGCTGACGAATCGCTTGAACAACAGTAAGGTGCCGGTTTCGCTCTCAAAGTGAAAAAAACGGTCATCCTGTGGTTCTGTTACCCTAGGGCGTTCACAACCGGGTCTTCTATGGTAGGACCCAGTTCTTCAAAAATGTCTAACGGCATCATGCAGAATTTTGTAAGGAACTCCGATGGCAATAGCCACACCTGATGGAACGTCCATCATCAATAAGTGCCACATCACGCGTAACATCCTCATTACTAAGTGACATTTCTAAGATTAAAAATAGAAATTAAGAAAACAAAGATAAAAACTAAGCAGTTTATTGCTTCAGAATTCAAATGAGGTTGAATAAACATTTTAAATTCCGTAAAAAGTAAACATTGAAAAATCCTTCATACTGGTTTTGAACTAAGGATTAAGTGTATTTACCTCTAATTGATATGCCCAATTTAAAACATGGCATAAACAAAGATTTATTGGTAAAAACAATGGGAAAATTAAAGGCAGAATTTTCTTTTGCCGAGAAAATGAAAAAAAAAAATTAGGTGGAATTTACGCCTTTCAGCGTACATATCAACTATTAATAATTAGATTTTTTTCTTTCCAATTGATTCCAACATCTTGATATTTTGAATTATTTGGCCCCTTGGGTTTCAAATTATCGAGAGTCGACTGTATTCATAAAAAATATAATGTTGTTTTATTTTTCATTACCAATTAAATAAATTACCTGTTTAATGCAATGCAATTAGGGAATCCAAGAATCCTTGAGGGGGGAAAAACGATAATTTTTTAAGTAAATTTTTTTTGATTAGATATATCAGACATATCGAGAATTAAGGAAAACAAGGCAAAGTTTACCAGTGGCCGGGTGTGTGTGTATATGTGTGTGTCCGTGTCTGTTTGAACTAATTATTTATCTGAAGATTAGGTGGGAAGGCTAATCAAGGTAAATGCCAGTTAGCAATGAGATCCTGACTAGTACAGACTACCTACTCAAGCCTGTCACATTGAAAATTTTGCCTTTTCTAGATCTGTGATTATTACTATATTCAATATTGATTCTAGTTAAGTGTAGGGCAAATACGGTTTAACTGTAACTAGAATGACGTACAAAACATGGAAAGATGCTTTTCAAAAAGGTAATTTAAATATTAGCTTTTTTTAAATTTTATCCTAAGTATATAATTTTAATTTGTTTATCGGATTATATGTATTTTTTTGTATTATAGTACACATTGCTTGTTTTATCATGCTTTATGATACACTAAATGTATTATAATTTATTATATTAAACATTTGAACAATTATACAATTTATCAAATTGAAGAGGAGTAAGGATAATTTAAAATATTTTAATTAAAAGAAAACAGTCAGATGATCTAAGTTTTTCTTTTTTTATGGAAAATAATTATGCGTGCTTCGAGAACTAGTTATATAGAAAATGTTTGTTTAAAATTTTTATTATCATAGTGTGGTTATAAAAAAAAATTAAAAAAATGAAATTGGATCTATGAGTAAACCATGATTGGATTGCCTAGCCTGACACAAGAAATTGTCATTCCAGACGGCAATTTTTCAGCACTGAAGTAGAATAAAAATTAATTTTAGAATCAAATCTTGCTTGCAGTTGAATAAAAAAGACTCAAGACAATGACCCAAAAAAAAAATAAATAAATAAATAAAAAAATAAAAAATAGTCTGTATGCACAAAAATAATTTTATTATGATCCAATGTGGCGTTCATATTATGTATGTGTAAAATTTTGTATGTAAATACAAAATGTTCATTCATTTAAAAATTCTTCCTTACTTGCTCACTGAATATGGTTCAAACCCTAAATTATTTTAAATATTATAAACAAAAAATATTCTCTGATACTGATCAAAATATTTATTGTCTTTTAAAGGCTAAACTATTTTTAAGATTATTAGTAAATTTGGTGTTTACATAAATGTTTGGTAATTTTTTTTAAATTTAATACTCAAAATTATTAAAAAATAAAAATAATTTAAAAAATGAATATTCCAAAAACAATCAAGAAATATTGTAAACAGAGAAGAGGAGAAATTACCCAGGAGTACATTAAAAGTGGCATAAATTTCAGATTTTATAGATAAACAATCAAAAACATGATGATAGCCAATTGGATGTCCAAAGAGGCCCCGACCCCATTTTTTAAAATGCACCATGTTCGTCAAATTTGTAAACCAAATTTACACCTTGGATTTAAGGAAACTTGGCACAAACCCAAATCGTAATCTGAGATAAGGCCCTCCAAATCCCTCCAAAAGCCTATGTTTCATAACAAAGTATATTGATAAAATAGTAAATAAAAAAAGGTTTACATAAATGGTCAAGTTAGTCGGATTGTCGAAAAATTATTGACTGAGGGTTATGCAAAATGGAAAGTGAGCCCTTCGCCCTCCTAAATGCAAACAAGTAAATTGAAAACAAAGATTAAACTAATCCTAAGCAATAGAAGATATAGTCTTATCTTAAAGATTAACATATTAAATTATAAAATCTTTTATTAGTGTTTGTGGCCTTTCTTTTGCTGTAATTTTATTGACAGCAGGTAACGTTTTGAAAGAAAATTTCTATTACATATTTGCATTTTGCATAAAAAATAATTTAATCAATTGGTTCTGGCTGGGGTGCTTGAAAAGAAAAAAAATTAAAATAAAAAGTTTTAAACTTTGAGTGATGTAAACAATTTCACTGAAGATTATGGAAAGAATGCCAGATGGTTTTTTCAAAAGTGTTGGGTTTTTGTTTTTCATACAAAATAAATATCACACAGCAATTATATAATGAATGCTAAATTGTTTATTATCAAATTTCAAAGACATTTAAAAAAAAACCTTAAATGTTTTCCTTAAAAACGGCCACAAAATGGTGGCCTCTTGAACTTTATACTGACTCTCAATAAGATATCTTGGGGAAAACCGTTATTTCAAATATACCAACATTATTAACTTTTTGATTTATTTCTGATTGTTGGGAATAATTTATAAAACCCATTCTCAAGGAGAGGAAAAGAACGAAATAATTTGAATTGTAGGATTTCCTCTAGGGGTCAGCGAATTGTAGTTTGGCCTTTTCCGATCATTTTGGCCTGTTGGACGCTTTTCGGCATTTCACTCAGTCTTGGGTTTGGTGTTGTGTCTCCCCCTTCTTAGAACCCTCACCAATCACTGATACTGAAAAGCTGAAATGGATCAGACACAGGTGATGCACATGTAGTTTGGTCTTTTTCTCGTTTGGCTGACTCGCTTTGGCTTCTCACAGTCTTCAGCCCAAGTTTGTTGTGTTGGCTCTCCCTGCTTATAACCCTGGCCTATTTCACACTGCCTTCACAATAAAAGCACTATTAAAAAAAAAGAAGATTTATTCTCCCAAAGACACCGACACACAATTACTACCTTTCACAACTTTATAATAAAAACTTGACTGCACAAACATCTCTCAAATGCAACACTCTCTTGCTTCTCCCTTCTTATAACCCTGACCAATCACCGATGACAAAAAGCCAACACTTCACTGACAGTCAGAGCTAATTGATCGAATCCAGCAGGTCTGTACCATAAAAACAACTTCATAATTATCATTCAAATCCAACACTCTCTTGCCTCTCCCTACTTAAGGCCTTGACCAATCACCAATATCAAAAAGCTGAAACGGGTCTCACAGATAGAGTTGACATGATATTTATGATTTATTTTATGATCAGCCTTTATGATGTTGGGAAAGGTAAAGATCACAAAGACTGACAGAAAAAAAAAAAAAACCTAGACATTATCCACCCATCTGACAGACTGGTTTCTGTTAGCTTTCAGTTATCTCTGTCTGTCAGATGAATTTCGGTGTTTCACCATTGTTGGTTGGTCAGGGATAAAAGCAGGGAGAGGCAACAAAACAAAGCCAGGGCTGAAGATAGCCAGAAGTTAAAACGCGTTTGTCTGACAAAAATGATCAGAATAGACCAAACTACATTTTCATCACCTTCCTGGTCGCTAGAGGAAATCTCATAATTTAAATTGATCTCTTTTATAATACTCCTGAGAATGAGTTTTATAAATTAGTTTAAATAATCAGAATACAATTTTCTGATTGAGAAAAAGTATAAGTTAAAAATGCTATCATTTGGCCTCCTTTCTATTTATACCATAAAATTTAATAAAATAAATTGAAACTAAACATAACACTGAAATGTTAATTAAAGCCAAGAAATGTAAATATCACATACTATACCAAAAATTTAATTCAGAACTAACGAATAGCTATGTTAATAATAATAAAATTAATGGTATGCTAAAACCCATATTCAGAGTGATGGGAGAACTTCTACAGTTGAATTATCAACCTTGGAGGAGAAATAGGATATTAACATGCTTCATGTGTAACCTAAAGTAGAAGATACAGTCCATTTAAAAAGATAAGATAGTCTATTTTCTTTTCATACACAGAAACAGACTAGATTGTTAAAAAAATCAGACATAAACTACCAAAGGCACAGGGACACACAACCCAACTATCACAACTTTATACAATAAATTGACTCAAAATTCGCCCAGACTCAAGACTACCTTGCTTCTCCCTGCTTATCCGACAAATGATATCAAAAAGCTAAAACCAACTGGCAAACTTAAATGGTTGAAAGTTACCAAATGAACTTGTAGTCATCACCCCACTGAATTCGATCAATTAGCTCTGTCTGTCAGATGCATTTTGGCTTTTCATCATTGGTAGTTGATCCGGGATGTAAGCAGGGAGAGGCAAGAGAGTGTTGGCTCTATGTGATTTTAGTTCAGTTTCATTTTATAAAGTTGTGACAGGTGGGACGAGTGTGTGGTGTCTTGACGGATTATGTCTGCATTTTTTATTGTTTTATTGACTTTATAGAAAAACATCTTGCATCTCCCTGCTAATTGTCCTAACCAATCACCGATGATACGCAGACCATATCTGTGTGTAGGTTTCTTTGGTAGAATATGACTGGTTTTTATCTTATTTCTGAACTCTCACCATTTTATAAAAGAAAATTGACTCTCTTGCCTCTCCTTGCTTATTTCCCTGACAAACTACCACAAGTCAAGCCAAAATGATCATTACGACTAAATCTCTTTTACGATTTACAGCTTGCATCCCTCAGCGTTACATTTTGGGCATAATGGGCTTCCTCGGAATCGCAAACGCATACACCATGCGTGCCTGTCTCAGCATAACGATCACACAAATGGTGAAGAAGCCCAGCATGGACAACTTTGTCACAGACGAAATGACTTGCCCTTGGCCTGACGAAGTTCCAATCTCAATGAATTCACCAGCCTTGGCCACTGTAAGTGAGATGAATAAATTAACAAGTTCGATGTCACACACACAATAATTGAATTAACCCAAATGTCTGCCTCAATAGTTCATATTAGAAATAAAAAACCACCGTTATCTAAAAAATAAAAGAAAATATAGTAAATAAAAACATAATAAAAAAAAAAAAAAAACGTGAATTTTCTTAAAGAGAAATTAATTTGTTTTTTGAAAATAATTGGCCCAAAGGCCCTAGGATACCAAACAAATTAATAAAAGATTATTTTATTAGATACTTTCTTTTACTAGCAAAACTTGTTTTTTTTTTTTTTTTTTTTTTTTTTTAACAATACAGAGCTAAATTTAATGGATGGTAATAACTATTAATAAATAAAAATATAATTAGAAAAAATTTCTAAAATAAAATTGTGCATTGTAATATGGAAAAAATAAGGAGACATCAGATACTTAGTAGAGAAGTCAAAATCTTCAACAATTATTCCCTGAGGATTAGATATAAAAATTAATGATAGATCAGTGGTCATAATTTACATCCTTTTAAGTTCTTAGTTAAATTTATAAGTCACAGCAGATATTTTCAGAGTCAACCCGATGGAGTAATGGAATGACAGAATGGCACACAATTTAGTTAATCAAAATTCGCCTAACTGTATTTTCTTTATTCTGATTTTTATTTTGAAACATTTAAAAAACATATAGGGGAAAGCTCTCAAAAAGAAAAAACCACCAAAACGCTCCCGAAAAGGAATAACCTATGAAACATACATATACATCAACTAACTATAAAAATAGGAGATTCACTAAACAACCAAGAAATAATGTTAGGAACTTTCATAGACATTGAAGGAACATTTGATAACACTCATTTCGAAGTAATGGTCACATTACTACAGTGACAAATTGGCTTCTCTTCTACTCTCTGTTCTCCTTATTTTCTGACAAGAAACATTTTTTATTATGAACTCAAAATAAATTCATCTCTATCAAATTAATTATTGCTTATAGTTCACATAATATTCCTTATATCCAACCTACTACTCAATTATCTTCATTAGACTCTAGTTGTGTTTATTTTAATTTTGTGTTTATTTGTAAGTTAATAAATAATAGAATTGATTGTCCATTATTACTTTTCATTCCTCACATTGATAATATTGTTCATTCTGGTATCAACCGACATCAGAAAATAGTCAATAAACGTATTCAGAAGTTTCCACAAATAGATATATTGAGAAATTCTTTACAAACTGTTAGATTATATCTCCTGGGTATTCAAAATAATTAGATTTTTACTAATGTATTTTCTTAAATTATAATTGGAAGTTTTAATTCTATCATTGCTAATCTCTTAATCCTCTAATTGCTAACACTCTAATCTTTCATAATTGGGCAATATTTTCTCAATTAATTTTCCTTTTTGACCGTTGTTTATTATTATTGTAAAATTTAAGTCTTAGTTTTTTAAATGGCCAAATTTGTATTTTTTTATTGCAAAATGTTTTGTATTTTGGGTATCTGCCCATTTAAATAAATAAAAAATAAAATAAAAAATGTGGTGTACCAGTTGAGGGAAGTTAGTTAGGCTCCTCAATAATTAGGCCCTTTTGCTACACAAGAAAGCTCTACATTTTCTAAATTTTCAAGTTCACACTGTGTTCAACCATGTCAGGGAATTCTTTCATTATTATTTTTTTTCTCGCTAAATTCTTATTATTGCTATTATTATTTCCATTTTTTATTTTTTTGCATTGGGTGATTTATTTCAACTTTACCTACCTTTATTAATCCAAGTGCCAGATTTGTAAAATTTCTATGACCTTTATTCTTGACCCAGAATCTCTCTCTCGCTCTCCCTCTCTCAAATAAATGTGAAAAAGAAAAGCGAGGACGAGAGCTTCCTCGGGGGCGGTGATTGCGTCTAGCAGGTGGACGTTTTCATTATTTACCTACTCTCACAATTCCTGGGTGCCCAAAGACAAACTATATAAAAAATATAAGAAATAAATAAATACATTTCTTTCCACGTCATTGCAGTTATTCTAGTAAAATGTTTTCTCATATTCTCACGGAAGTGCACATCAAACTATATCAATTTTAGTATTTATTATTTTTATGGACAAACATTGATAAAAAAATTATACTATTTAAAATTAAGAAAATTTTCCCAATTTCACTAAGAGAGAAATGTCAACTTTCTTGAAAACATCAATTAATAGAACAATTAGGGCATCGGCAATTTAACACAATAATAGATATTTTTAAAAAACAATTAGTTGTACATTCATTAAAAAAATCATTTTGATTAGACTGACCATTTTGTTAAAATGAAAATTCCATTTTCAAGATGATTGTTCAAAATTCAAATATAAGCCGTATAATTCTTGATTGTTATTATTTTAAAGTATTCAAAATTGTTTGTACAGTCTGGCAATTATGATTGGGATGAAACAACCCAAGGGTTGATCCTTTCTGCATTCTATTACGGGTACCTCATCACACATATTCCTGGTGGACTGCTTGCAGAGCGGTTCGGCGGGAAGCATACGATGGGTTTCGGCATTTTGTCGACAGCAATATTTTCGCTGTTGACACCCTTTGTAGCGGATTATGGAGCAATCCCTATGATCACACTGCGTTTCCTGATGGGCCTCGGAGAAGTATGTTTGAATTTATACATATTGTAAGGATAATTTTTTCTTGTATTTTTTTTTCTTTAGGGAACTACATTTCCAGCGTTAAGTACCCTCTTGGCACAATGGGCACCGCCATTGGAAAGGAGTAAATTGGGCTCGTTGGTTTTTGCAGGTAAGTTCTATAAAATTATTGCCGTCAAATTAATTTAAAAAAAATTAATCCTCCTATTTTTATTTTAAGGTGTTCAAATTGGAACAGTCCTGTCCATTTCCTTAAGTGGTGTTATTATTGAATATACAAGTTGGCCCTATGTTTTTTACATATTTGGAGTAGTCGGGGTGGCTTGGTTTGTAGTCTGGTGCCTTCTTTGCTACAATGATCCAGGTTCACATCCTTTCATCAGTGAAAATGAGAAAGAATATTTGAAAATGACAATAGGGAGGACTGAAAGAAACAAGGTATAACTTTTTCATTAATTCTTAACACATTCTTTAGACAGCCGGGTGCTTAGGGCGACTAATTTGTATTTGCCACGCTAGCAATCCTGGGTTCAAAATTTGGCACAACCATCTCTTTTTACTTGAAATTGTTTGAAAGAAGTATTGTAAAGTGGTTTGACTCCTCAACCACGACACCCAATGGGTAGTTGGACAATAAGTCCTGTTTTACAAGAATAACTTTACTTTATACATTTTTTTAGGAAGGATTCTGCACAAGATTGAACTGTTAAATTTACAGTTTTTTATTAAATGTATAATCTAATAGCTAGTCAATTTATTATAATGTTATTAAAGCTTTATTGTAAGTATAAACCACCTTAGTAGTGTGGCATAGATCTTTTTTTTTCTTATTTCCTGGGCTATCTCCTCCGGCAGAGCGGTCTTATACAGAAAAATGGGTTTAATTAAATAAGCAGCATTCCTGGCTTACAGTTGGATTTATTGCATGCTAGGAAGAAACGTGTTCTCACTGGTCGTAGATCTTAAAGGCGGTGGATTGCTGGAGATCTTTTTTCAGATGAACTCCTGGACAGGACTTAATCTCCAAACTCGCAATCAGACTCTGGTCTTAGGTGACTGATCTCACCCAACTGAACTCAGGCTCATTGACTCTCAGATTCAGACTTTCACTCTAACTCAAATTCTCTCTCCATCTCAGTCCAACTATGGTGGTCAAACTCAGACTCTCACTACTCTCCCCACATCTGACTCCAGCTCTGACTGATGGCCTCTGACCCATGAGTCTGTGTACGTGAACTTCAATGCTGATACCTTGCCCCGTGGATAAGCTAGATTTCCAGGCCTCGGATGAGGTGTGACAGTAGTTATACATAATCAAGCTTGATGAAACTGATTTATTGTTATAATAATTAGCATTGAGAAAACTGGTAAATAATATATATATATTTTTTTAATTTTTGTCCAGGATCTTGGTGGCACGCCTTGGAAAGCGATTTTAACATCTGCCCCAATTTGGGCTTTGGTGATCGGAGAAATTGGTCATGATTTTGGCCTCCTTATGATGGTTTCAGATTTGCCCAAATATATGAGCGATGTGATGCATTTTAAAATTGGAGAGGTAGGATCACACTTCGCACTGTGAATTTAGAAGTAAAAATTAAATTGTTTAAATTATTCCATTTTTTTAAACGCAGAATGGAGGACTGTCAGCATTGCCATACCTTGTCATGTGGTTGGCCTCCCTCTTTCTTGGATATTTTGCTGACCTTATATTGTCCAAGAATTGGATGGATATAACATTGTTGAGAAAAACACTAGCAACACTTGGTATAAATTTGTTCGTTATTAATGACAAGAAAATAATTAAGCAACTTTCATGATTTCCTTTCTTGAATTATTGTTTTTTCAGGAGCAATAGGGCCTGCTGTAGGATGCATTATGGCGTCGTATGCAGGGTGTAATAAACCTGCAGTCGTGACGCTTTTTACCGTAGGGATGGGATTCATGGGATTTTGTTATTCCAGCCTAAGAGTAAATGGACTTGACATCTCGCCGAATTACGCAGGAACAATTATGGCAATCGTTAACGGGATGGGATCGATTTCTGGGATGGTCGGTCCCATCCTGGTCGGCTACTTAACACCAAATGTAATTTCAGAATTTATAAATTTTTTCAATACCATATTGAGATTTTTTGTTTTGTTTTTTTCAGAGGACTTTAACAGAGTGGAGACAAGTGTTTTGGGTAATGGTCGCAATGCTCGTCGGTACTAATTTTATATACGTATTTTATGGAACGGCGAAAACTGCAAAATGGAACGACCCAAAGTCAAATAAGAATTCTGAGGAAGATAAAGCCAACAAAATGGAAATTGATAAGGATATGTCAAGCCAAAATCAACAATATCCCTATGAAAAGTGTTGAACACCAAAGAAAAACAAGTTTTCATGATTTGACGCTGTCAATTCTTTTCTTTTACCCAGCTCACAATATGGAATTGTGATGTAAAAATTGTCCTTAGTAAATTTTTACAAAATAGGACAAATTATGGATAATTGAAGAGTGAGGACAATTAACTGTTTAAAAGAATTTGTACTCTTGTTATGCCAGGTTGGGTAACAATAATTCTAGTCTGTTATAAACAGTAAAATTACTAAATACTGAAATCTCTTTGTCCATAAAACATTTATAGTATTTAGATAATAAAGACTGCCCCTTCAAAGACAATATTGATGTCTTTAAATGCAGAAAGTTTAATTATAATGTAACAATTAGGAATTTTATCTGAAACATGTAGGGTATAAAAAGGTTTATTATTAATAAGGATATAATTAAACTTCTAGTGGTTATTACTCAATGATTTTGGTCACTTTAAAAAAATAAAAATCTTTGTAGAAAGAAAAATGATATCTTAATTATATTTAACTGTATACTTTTTAAATTCAACAAGCATTTCTGACTGCTTAAAAATTGAATAATATTATGTTTTGTAAATAAAAAATATTTTTTAGAATTATTATTGTTATTATTATGAACACATTTCAAATATTAAATATAGTGCATGTTACAATTAATTAATGTTTTTAGTTGAGATGAAAAAAAGTTAATGGCACGAGCGGGATTCGAACCCACGATCTTCGGCTAGATACGCCGCTGCTCTACCACTTGAGCTATCGTGACCTCGATCCACTCAGACACCAACTTCCCATCTCAACCCCACCTTTCGAATTTTTTGCCACTTTTCAAAGGATAAGGAAGATAGGAAGTTGATGTCCGAGTGGATCGAGGTCACGATAGCTCAAGTGGTAGAGCGGCGGCGTATCTAGCTGAAGATCGTGGGTTCGAATCCCGCTCGTGCCATTAACTTTTTTTCATCTCAACTAAAAACATTAATTAATTGTAATGTATTAATTGGTCAAGCGGACTACGAAATTAGTGAATGAAAATAGTGCATGTTGTTTATCACCACCCTAAGTCGGTTTTTGCCATAAAAATCTTGGCATCCAAGGTCGGACAAGTACACAGATCCATCACCTGGGATCGACGAACCAAAGATCGTCAGTCAGAGCTGTAGTCAGATGGAGAGAGAGAGTTTGAGTTTGAGTGAGAGTCAAAGTTGGAGTTATATGAGAGAAAGTTTGAGTTAGAGTGAGAGTCTGAGTCTGAGAGACAGAGTTGGACTAAGATGTTCAATTTAGAGCGAGAAGCTTATGATGGCCACTAAAGAGTCTGGATTTGCTGAAAGTTGAAAGTTTGAATGTTACTTGTTACGTTTTAGTTTTATTCTTCAATCCTATGTGTCTAAGTAACCTAAAAATAATAAAATCTATTTAAATAATTAGAGGATAATTGAAAGGATTAAAAGTATATTTTTGAAGTGTGATGAAATCAGCAATTTTTTTATTAATGTATCCAGTTTTCATTTGACTCACAACCTAACTTACAAAGTAAACAGTATTCAATTGTACAGTACATTTTTAGAATACGTTGTCTTAAAAGAGACTTATTTTTTAAACTATCTTAAAATTATAACAAAATCAAACTAAAACTCTGACTCAATCATCAAGAAATGATACATTTTTTATGATCTTCCGTGTTTCAAGAATTAGTATTAAAAGGCTAACATTATAATTTTAATGATACTTCTTTTTATGGTGTTGGTTCATCTATATTTGTTTTATTAATGTTACAGAACACAATAACATACACACTATTATCATTTTACACACATTTTTTTTGTTTGTTTAGTATATACGAAATAATGCATTATAGTATAAAAATATTAATATCCTATTATAACAAACACATTTAATCTTCTTCCTTTTTTTTTGTTGATCTGATATTGACTTTTCATAGCAAAACTACAGTGGATTATATTATTCATTAGTAATTTTTATTACGTGATACCATTATCCTAATAAAATTGTTGTGCAAATTAAAAGCTCAATTATAATAAAATATCTATTAATTGGATATGTGTCTTGGTGCACCCACAAAGTGATAATGTGCCAGCCTTGTTGCTTGTCCAATTCTAACGTTTTAAATAAAACTCTCGCAAAATCCACTCACCAAGAGTAATGCAATCCAGATGGTGATTTGGATGGTTTTAAAAAATAAAATATTTTTTAGGGGGTGGGGAGATATAAACTTAAATATAGTAAAAATAATGATCTAACTTACATCTGAACACTGACGATAGAAATAATTTGTTTCTTTAAAATTTGGATTTGGGTTTCTCTTGCTTACATACAAAATACAACTTTTTTTTTTAATCTTAGGCCTATAGTGTATGTTGTCCATTCAATCAGCTTTTTGTACAAAAAGCCAATACTGACAATCTGGATCTGATATTCTTTGATAGTTTGATGCATCAAATGTCAAATTTTAACAAAATGCACAAAATGATAATGAGCAGTGCCTTTATAAACTCTTCATCCTATGGTGCAGCTGTCCTGTGAACTCGGTGGAGAAGCATTTCTGGTATTCTGGTCGTAATCGTTAAAGGGCTGCACTCACATTTGCTGATCCACTCAACCTGCAATCGAGTTTTTAAAAATCTATTTTATTGTGTTAGAACACCACTAGAGCTATTTTGTTATCTTTATGAAATTTATATTATCAAATTATAAGAGTGGAGAAATAATTTAGTAATTACACAATCCAGCACAATTCACTTTCCTCACTATGCAGGAAATCACAACGCCTTGGATGGTATAGATATCTTAGAGGATTGTTGGGAAAGGTTTGTGATGAAAGGTGTCTGAAACAGGTTTGGATGAGCTTCTTTGGAGATATCCCTATTGTTATTGTTTTAAGGACAAATGGGATTTAAAATCTATCTGGATATTAAGGTTATAAAGTAGGCTTTGAGCAATGTTTTGAAGGGTTTTGTACTGGAGTGAATGGATTCTTTGGATGTTGGAATGCTTGGTTGAACCCCATGGTTCAAAATGTCCAGATCAGTTGGAGTAAAAATATGTGCCTGATATAATGTCAATTAGTGTTTTGTGTCGTTTGTATCATCTGCTCAGATCTCTTGAATCAAGTATGGGGGTTCCAAGTTGACTGTTGTCAATATAAGATCCAAAATAGTGGATGACCTTGGTTGCTGAGAGAGAAACAGGGTTGTAGATTGGAGGAAAGGTGATGTTGTAAAGGGCGAAGGTTATTTGCTAGTATTTGGTTGAACTTCTAAAAAGGAGTGGTGGTCCTGGAGCCTTCTGATGGCCACTAATGGGTCTGTGTTTGGTGAAAGTTGATATGGCAAAGGATGAATGTTATTTTCAAGGATTTGGATTTGTTGAGTCAAACCCACCACTTCATGAACTATACTTCTAAAAAGGGTGGTGGTCTTCGAGCCTTCTGATGGCCACTAATGGTTCTGGGTTTGGTGAAAGTTGATATGGCAAAGGATGAATGTTATTTTCAAGGATTTGGATTTGTTGAGTCAAACCCACCATTTCATGAACTATACTTCTAAAAATGGGTAGTGGTCATGGAGCCTTCTCATGGCCACTAATGGGTCTGGGTTTACTGAAAGTTGATATGGCAAAGGGTGCAGGTTATTTCTAGGATTTGATTTTCTTGTCTAACCGTCATGAACTATTCTTCCAAAAAGGAGAAATAGCCCTGGAAACTGCCAATAGATATTGTCTGCATATATGAATACTATTGAAACTGATAGGAATAGGATAGCCTGGAGTACATGATGAAAGAAAGTAGGACCAAGAATGCTGCCATGCAAAACACCCGATAGTGTACAAGGATGTATCAATCCTTACTTGAACGTACCAATTGAAGGCTTTTAGTATGAGGTACTAAGTTAATGAAAGGATTGAGTTCCCAGAGCAAGTTGCCACTTGTTCAGGAAAACGAGCAGCAGTCTTTACACTCAAGAAATGATGTCTTCACTGTTGGAAATATATTTGATGTTTTGTTTGCTACAGTTAAAAGCAGTTCTCTTTTTTGTAATGATTTATAATATAATTTATAAAAATATATTTTAAATTTTGATTACCTGAACAGTGATGGGGTGTGAGTAGGCCGGGGTCAGTTTCCTATCTATAGAGCCCCAAAGGTCACTTCCCTGAGTCACGTCCTCAACTGTGTCCTCAGGCTGTTGGCAGAGCATTGGTACTTTGATTGTAGTGCTTAACTCCGGTAAACAGAGTAAGCTCTGGCAGGCACCGCACCACTTTGGTCTGTAGCGCTTAACGCTGAGACAGCTCGCGAACCGCAGACGGACGCCTCTTCCCAATCTCCTCGTTGCCTTACATTCGTGCCCTTTCTAAAATTTTTGAAAACATTTTATCCATTGATGAAGGTAGATTGTTATAAAACGTATTTAAAAACAAAAAAAACACTAAGTGAGGGAACGATAATTTAAATGACCACTATAAGCTAAAAAGGCTTAAGGAGGAAAGAAAAAGCTTGAAAACGATAAATTTGTTTATTTAAGTTCCATCTTCATAACCAATACTGTGCCCTTGTTAATGAAATATTAACCTCAGCTACTTGAGGACAAAACCGCCGCCCACCTGTGAGAAAATTGCCACAACAATTTCCTTATTAAACCCTACATTTTCAACTATTTAGAAGCTATGACTAATAGAGGTGGCGCAAAGCGCTATTGATTTATGGCTTAAGTTAGTATATAAGACGCAACATCATTAAATAATAACTTTGTCCAAATATTTTTTAAAATAATATTTTAAAAAAAGTAGACATTTTAATACTTGATAATGGTTTTCTGCCTTGGCAGTTTTAAAGTCCAAGTAGAACAAAGGAAATAGCAGGTGAAGGACTTAGTATAATCACACGTTTTGAAAACTTAATAACTGGTGGTATTATCGAAAATCTTGCTGAAAATCAACAAAAAATATAAAAAGATATTTCTACAACCAATAAAAGTTTAATTGAATGAATGATTCTGAAAAAAACCACACTTACTCTCAGCCTATGTTGCGAATAATTGTGGATCTTTTGTGGCAAAGGTCCAGGGCAAGGCCTCAGTTGGCAGAGTCTTGTCTCATTGTTTGGTTGACAAAGGGGGCTGGGACCCATCCTACGCGAAAGGCCAGCTCCGCATGAGTCGGGACATGCGGACCAAGGACTCCACTCACAGTCCGGAGGTCTCTCGGCTGGAACATACAACAACAAATATGCAGAATCTACACATATGAGCACAAACAGACGTCATATACATGTTAGATGAAGTCTGAATGTTTAGCTTTTTAAAGAACTTTATTGTAAGTTTTAATTCCGATGCAGTTGAAATACCAGTAGTAACAAGTAGGAGAGAAATTAATTAACGTAAAAAATGTGGTTAGGGACGGACAAACTGCCGTACAATGAATTCTTGGCCGTTCAGTTTTCGATTTGTACGTGAACCACACGAGGTTTGCCTTATGGATTTATTGTAGTAAATTAATCACAAAAATTGTAGCAATATTAGCTTACTTGACCTGTAAACATCCCTGATGATGACAACACCAGATAGCATGTGGTGTCTTTCATTTAGAAAGGAAAATTCGACAAGATGGACGAGTTATTTGGGTACAACAGAAGGACAAACCGCCGTTCAATAAATTCTTGGCGTTCAGCTTTCTGGTCAGTTCAGATGTGTTATTATTTTTTTTCCCCTGTGCCTGCGTGCGGAGAAAAAAATGTTAGTTTTAAGTTGTGTAAACTTGAATTTTGGCGTGGAAGATGAGAGCATCAGGCGGCAGCACGAGCGTGGGCGTCGAGGTTCAGTCGGCGCCTTTGGTCAGTGGTTACGATCGCCGACTTGGGTCTCGAAAGTTGTGGGTTCAATTCCAAAATCCGTTAGTTATTTTTTTCCCCTTTGGTTTCATTTTTTTCTCTTCTTCCTTCCTTTACCTATATTTCTTTTCTTCTCTTAGGGTTTCGGTATTTACCCTTCCCAAAAATACCGTGGCCCTCAACAATTCCCTACCTCTCTCCTTCACCCACCCCCTTCTCCACTGAGCGACGGGACCAACTGTTGTCGGCCGAAGTTTCGACCGTAACAGTGTAAGTTGTTGTAGTGGCTTACTTTATAGCTATCCTATTTTAAAGGATCGGACATATTAGATTTCTTCTGACACCTACCAAACTAAGCGTTGTCTTTCGTTCTATTTAGATAAACGGCTGGAAAACTTCACTATCCTCTGATCTCGACATACCCAGAGTATCAAAAGTATCTTCAACGCATCTTCAAAACTTCCCGCTGACTTGGCATCTCCTAACAAACTTCCTCGGATTTAGCAGTTGCTAGAGACGGAGAACGGAGAGCGGTGTCGTTCGTATATAAGGACAAATTTCGACGAGATGATTAGTTGGGTATGCAGACGGACAGAAAGACAGATAAAAAGACGGGCGAACGAACAAACTGCCGTTCAATAAATTCTTGACGGTTTAACTTTCAATTGGCACTTTGTTGTAGTGGCTTATTATATTAGTAAACATTCAATAATAGGAAAATCAAGCATTCCTTCTGCACCACTCGGTATATGAGCATATAACAACATAATGAGCTGATATAGGCATGTACTAGCATATAGTTATTTGACGTTTCCCTGCTTGGAAAGGTTTTCTTCAGTTCTTGTATTCAGCTTTCAACCACACGATGTTAACCAGGGGTGTTTTTCTAAACGTGTCACCTTCATCATTGGCTAGGAGGTATGATACCTTCATTTGTTTCAGTATATGCGTCCTAAGACCAATGTTGACATATTGATGGCATCCAAAGACAAGCCTGTCTCAGTGTCACTGGAACCATGAGTACAACGCCAACTGCGGCTCTGGAAGTGTTGTTAAACCTCCCACCACTGCATATTTTAATCCGAGGATAAGCAAAGCAGCAGCCATAAACGGACAATCATCTGCAAGGATAGGCCATGTAAATAAACAATGGAAACTGAGAGAGGAGATACAGGCAGACGCCATTCTAGGCATGCCAATTGATGCCACTACTCCAAAGTACGATTTTACTAAAAAGTACTGATACCAGAACGGGAAGAATGGGCCAAAGGAACACCGCTAAAGGCAAATTCCTACTGGTATACTGGCAGTCCTTAAACCGACAGGGTGCGGGAGCAGGAGTCTTCGGGATGAACCCAAAGACCAAACTGTCGGTAAACCTAGGTAAATATGCTACAGTTTTTCAGTCTGAAATCATAGCGATTGGGCAACGCGTCAGAGAAATAAAAAGGCTAGGAATACAAGAAGAAGCCATTTTCTCTGACAGTCAGGCAGCACTTAGGGCCTTCATGCGAGGCGAAGACAAAGAGTATTTGGAAATGCATGGAGGCCCTGATGGAAGTCAGCGACACCTATGACCTGACCCTGGCATGGGCCCCTGGACATTCGGGGCATAGAGGCAACGAAAAGGTTGATACGTGGGCCAAAAAGGGGGCCAACATGGACCCTCTGGGTCCTGAATCCTACTGAGGCTTAGCATCCTGCCACAAAAAAGGATACATCTTTAAATGGATCCTTAATGAGTCCAAAATCTGGTGGAACTATACCTCAGGTATGAGGCACGCGAAGAGATTCATAGATGAACCATCCGCAAAACTTACAGAAGAATTACTGGAAGGAACCGCAACCGAATTAGGATTCTGGTTGGATTCCTGACAGGGCACTGCACAAGGCACATGCACCGGATGGGGGTACAGACAGAAGAAACACTGTGCAGATACTGCCAGGAAGAGGAGGAGCTGCGGAATACATTCTATGTTTCTGTGAAGGTCTATGTAGGTGCAGGTTCTTGCATCTAGGACAGGAAAAACCACAATCAAGATCCTTCACCAAGGAACCGCTGGCAAAGGTATAGAGGCTGATTAAAAACCTGAAGCTAGCCAGTGAGTTATAAATAACAAGGGAAGACAATAGATCTATTCAGATCGAGGCTCAGAAGACCTTGTGGCCGCCTCTTTTTTCCCTATCCTTATCCCTATATATACCCCTATATATACTGAGGAATGTTATATACATATTTCGGTCAAGTAGACTTTTCATTAATTTTAAGAGTTGCTGTATAATTTGGCGTTCCCAAACTTCTTCCTTTTCAAATATCAATTTGAAAGAATTTAAAACACACCAATTTTAGTATACTTTGTCTGAGTTTGTGTAAATTGTTTTGATTTCGGAAAAAGAAAAAAAAGTTAACCGTCCTAAAACCCTAAAACAAATATATTTCCTGTGTGTATGTACAACCATAGTTTATTCAGTCTTCTGATGTTAATTCAGTTTTTGTTTGCTCCTATAATTAAAACGTTTTTTGTTAAGTCAACTAATTAGTTGGCAGAAGAAAAGCCTCGGCCTTCCAGGTGTGTTAAACATTTGCTAATTCTGGACTTAAATTCAGTAAGATAGAAGATGAAAAAAGTACTGTCCCGACCCTCCCTGGATCGCATCTTATGGGCGTGACCTAAAGAATGTTTTAAGTACCGAATTCCCCAAAATTGCCACAATAGATTTTAACTAGTGGTCCGGCGGAATCCTTCCTTATTACTTGGGGGGAAAAGTTCCAGTGTAAAATGAGGTTTTTTTTGTTAAATAAGTTAAGACTTGAATATTTGTCGGGCGACCGATTAATCTAGGTTGGTAATTACCCCGATGTATCCTCAGGACGTGATTTAATGGTTCAAAGATCCTTTCGCCAGATAGAAGATGATTTATAACTGTTTCTTCTCAACAAATATCTAAGTTTAATCATTGCTTTTTAAAGATCTGCATATATCACGGGGTTGCAATCTCGATGATGCCATAAACGTAATTCGGCAATGATCACAATTTGTCAACGGCGAAAGTTTAAAAGCCTGGCGTTTAAAAAATCTGAACTTTCAAAGATTAAACAAGATGAAAAACCTAAGTTCTTCTTAAGCGCACATTGAGAAAAGTTTTTGTTATATTTCATCATGCTTGACCCTAAAGCGTATATTTTGTTCACGGGAATGAAATGATTGTAAGGAATGCTTTTTTGATTTGCTGACAGAACGAAAAATATTTTTATCGTGGTGGTTTTATGCTAGGTGAGTTGCTTTATTTGATTTACTGTCGTTATCCCTAATTGACACATGCTATTTGTGTCTGTCTTTTTGTTTGTGTATTGTTGAGTGTTCCTTATGTTTTTAGGAGAGGGGAGTCGTTAGTTTGTTTTTATCTCTAATTTGAATTAATTATGCAATAAATAATTATAAGTCGCTCGCCAATTAATAATTGGAATAATTAAGTCCCTTTTTATATGTATATTTTGTCCGTTTTCGAGGTGTCGTCATGTTTTGTGTGTGCCTTTGATTTAATTGTTTTTTTCGTTATTTCTATAATATACCGTTGTTTTTTTTAAAGTGTTTTGATTGTTTCTTCTTCGTGTATTTGTATCGTACAAATTTTGACGGCTGTCTTTTTGTTGAACTTCAGGTGTTTTTTTTGTAAATCTGTCCTATTTGTTCTCAATATTTTCCTGCTATATAGGCTTTTTTTCTCTGTGGGTTAATATTAGTCTTAACTCTAAATATTTCCAATTTTGTTGTTTTTTGTGCCTTTTTAAGTTTAATTTTGTTCAATTGTTATGTCAGTTTGTACGTCTCTTTCCTTTGTTTGTTTAGGTTATGTTTTTAAAATGTCGTTTTGTTTGTAGGATGAGTTTGTACTTCTCTATGGTCAGTGGTACTTACTATTTTAGGTAGTAATCTGATGGGTGCTACTTGGCACTGACCCTGGCAAAAGCCTTGCTGCAATTGGAGAGTGCCAAACTCAGAGGAGTGGTAGGACTACTAACCGGACACTGGCATCTGAGAAAACATCTACACAACGATGATCCCATTTGCAGATTATGTAATGAGGGGGAGGAATCAGCCACCCATATCATCTTCGAATGCGAAGCAACAGCTCAATGGAGATTTAACCTAACATATGGAAAAAGCTTAGGGAATCAAATTGTAGCAGCAACAGTCAATGACCTGATACTTCTAAGGAAAAGGATTGAGTCTATTGCACTGAACTAAAGAATTATTTAGGATGGTACAATAAGTCAAAAGACTGCAGTGCCTGGCGAGCGCAAACCCCACTTCTTAGTATCCTTTTTGCCATACCATTGCCATACCAGGCACTGACCGGAAGTGGTTTCGGACCC